GTTGTCTAAAGCAGAAGCAGACTTTTCAAAGCAGACTCTGGAACTAGCTGTTCTGTGCTCCTGATTTTTTACTCCAGTGTGGCTCCACTCTTACCTCCAGGCCTAACTATTCCCTTAGCTTCAACGATTAGGCCACACCACCTCCAACCCAAGTTGTGTTCCTGACGTCTGTGCTCATGGCTGCTGGGGGCAGAATAGAAGAGGTCACTAATGTGTGACACTAAGACTTCAAGTAGCATATCCACAGGTTCTTTGTGCTGCAATAAGCTGAGTTTCTTTATGATTCTTTTCCAGTGAATTGTGGGAGAATCTGTCCTCCTATGTCTATAGAAGGAATTGTGGGAAGGCATTGGAGGACTACCAGCATTTGAATGATTCCGAATGTGTCTCCTCACTGTAAAGTTGGTGGGTTTACTAGCCCCAGAGCAAAAGAGCATCTTGAACATCACCATATTTGGGTCTGGATTTTTTTGTGTGGACCCCTGGAGGGATTTATAGGCAACACTCAAGTAAGAGTGCAGGCTACAGGGTGCTGGAACATTTTTAGGGTGTGTGCGCTGATGATGCAAACCATGTATTTGGTGTTTCTTACTACTGCCTTAAACCAGTGGTTTTAGGATCACTTCTAGTTCCAGTAGCACTGGCAGGCTAACTCTTCAGTGAAAACCTATCCTTAGTGAGTCTGTAGTTGTTCTCTGCTGATTATTCCTTCCTAAGAAAGAGGCTGTAAAGAGTGGGATAAGAGAGGCCTTAGCTGAGGAGAGGAATTAGTTAAAGTTGTTCTGTAGAGGGAAAGGTAAACCAAAGTAGCAGAGAGGATCATTTGCCCTTACCCTGCTGTAGATTAATGCTGCTTTTAGCTTTTAAAGGATTTTTGTAATTCTTGCTGCATATCTTTGCCACTTGCTTCTTTTTGCCTGTCCAGAATGTAATAAAAAGCTGACATGTTTTTATACAGAAAAACTCACTTCTTTAGGTGGATCACCTGGGAATAAAACAAAGAGTTTGGAGGAGCAGTTGTTCACCACAAGTTACTGTCTTCCCCAGTTTGCAAAAATCAAGCTCCCCAAGCAGTTTATCTTCAGTTGCAACAGCAGAAAAGGATCTCAGACAGATGGTCTTGGAATGGGAAACAGGTTGCCGTCAATAGTTTTAAAGACAATAACAAAGCAAATTGTATTGTTAATTCCAGGTGCAACCTTGACTCCAGTGAAGTCAGTGGGAATTTTTTCATTGATTTCAGTGGGGCCAGGATTTCAGCTTCCAGCTATAATTTTCAGGTCAATTTACCAAGATGGCTAAGGAGATACAAGTTTATTTAAAAAAAAAAAAAAGTAGTGATTTTCACCCAGGAGAAAAACCCAAGTCCTCATATGTCACTCTGAGCATAAAGTAATTTTCAGAGTTATTTTTCAGTGAAAATAGTAATCTACAAATGTGTGCAGGACCTGATCCAATGCCCATAATGTCAGTCAGAGTCTAGAAAAGGACTGAAGTGAAAAGATTGAGGACCCCACTTAACCTTGGCCTTGATGTCACTATAAAGTGCTCATCTTGGCACAGTGCACACTAGTTATTAGAAGCCTTTTGGAGGTCAGCAATAACAGGAGAAACACCCCACAAGTGGAAATATGCAGAGGCCTCTACAAAATAGGATCTGTGTTTATGCAGACTCAGCAGGCCAAAGAGGAGAGCACAGTTAGTATGCTCTGTCCTTGCATTCCAGCCTTCCCCCACACTCTCTAGTAAGTTTATGGCCTTGTCTGTACCAGAACAATTTGCTGGTAGGGCTTTCCAAGAAAATCCCTATTATTTTACTATATAGCTTGCCCCAGTTCCACATACATAATAAAGTATGCCAGCAAACAGACTTGATTGCTGACACAGCTCTATCTATACAATACTAAGGCTTTTGCTGGCATACATACCTATGTGATTTTTTTTCATACTGCTAATCACTATAGCTATGCTGGCAAAGCTTTCTGGTGTAGACCAGGCCGTAATGTAATTAATAATAGCACTTATCTCGGTAATTTGGGGATGCCCCAATAGTAAAATCTGCAGTAGAAATAGGTTTGTGGCATCGCTGATGCAGACACTCATGTAGTGGACCTTGGCTCTGCAGACTGTTAGGTTTATCAAAGCTTAATTTCAATTACCATGTCAGTTTTTCATGTTTATTGTTTTGCTTGCATGCTTTTATCCCACGGCCACTGAAATGGAAGACCTAGTATGCTGGTCATTCCTTGTTGGAATGAACATCATATTGCTAACATCCGATTGGCAGAAATTAGAAACCTATGTGATTGCTGAGACTATTAAAATTAGGCAATAAGCGTAGTGTGTGCAGCACTTTCAGTTCAGCTCAGTACTGACTTGCAACATGTCTTGCTTATTCCAGTCTTAAGCATGGTTCATCTACAGTGAAAACATGAAGTTGATTTTCGAATATAGATGTTGATTTTATATATAATTGCACATATAAACACATATGTTCAGAGCTGTTCAAATCCATGGATATCTGCTTTTATATATGCATCTGGGGATGTGGATGCAGAAATCAGTGGCTCATTTTGCAAATACAAATTTTGTAGGTGGAACTGTGCAAATACGTAGACTTAAATCCATGGGTATCCACAACTGTGGATGTGGATGCAGATATACACGGATTTTTTGTGCAGAGGCAGATGCGGATATCAGTTTTGGTATCCATGCAGGGCTCTACATATGTTATGTGAACGTGGTTCAGTATCATATATTGTGCTTTTGAATGTCTCATCAATACTCTGCCCACTAATTTCTCCCTGCTAGAATTACTAGCATTCTGAATCCATGCAACTTTCAATAAATGCAATTTAAAGAAAATCACCTGTCATTAGATATTTCCTTCTTCATCCCAATGTTGCAATTATCCTAGAATTTCACTGGTTCAAGGTTCTTTCTGAGATGGGCCAGGGCACCTCTGTGGCAGAGGTGAGGAGTGTTCTAGCCCCCCTGCTTGCCTCCTTTAATTGATTAACAGGTTAAACAATATGGCTGTGTCTACACTGGGCCACTTATTCCGGAAAATCAGCCGCTTTTCTGGAATAAGCTGCGAGCTGTCTACACTGGCCCTTGAATTTCCGGAAAAGCAACGATGCTCTACTGTACAAAATCAGCTGCTATTCCGGAAAAACTATTCTGCTCCCGCTCGGGCATAAGTCCTTATTCCGGAACACTGTTCTGGAAAAGGGCCAGTGTAGACAGCCCAGTAGTCTTTTCTGGAAAAAAGCCCCGATCGCGAAAATGGCGATCGCGGCTCTTTTCCGGAAAAGCGCATCTACATTGGCCACAGACGCTTTTCTGGAAAAAGGGCTTTTCCGGAAAAGCAGCCTGCCAATGTAGACGCTCCTTTTCCGGAAAAACTGAAAACGGAATAGTATTCCTTTTTAAGCATTTCCGGAAATTCATGCCAGTGTAGACACAGCCTATGTGTAACAGGTTAGCCAGTTTAGTGGGATTTTACATCCCAATTTTAAACTGCATCTGCTACCTCTTTGTTTTATATTATTTCCAGTGTGTGTGGTAATGGAAACTCCTCTTTACCAGTGGGTGTAACTATCTGGATTGGTGTTAATGAGCCAGTCTTCACTAAAGAAGACAGAGCGAGAAAGAGAAAAGCAAACACAAAAATGTCCTTGTCAGCTTTAAGTATAAGGTTGCCAACTTTCTAATTGCACAAAACCGAACACTTTTGTCCCGGCGTCTTTTTAAATTACATTTGTTAAATGACAGTAAATGTTGAGATTCAAAAAGTTAAAGGTTTGTATGCTGTTTAAACACAAATTGTCAATTTCACATTTCAACATATACAAAGTAAATATCTTAAACCAGTGAGGGGCAACTGAGGCTAGTGAGTGGGCCACCTAAGTGGCTGTCCTTCAACTCAGTGGACTGCAAGATTATCATAACCAAGACAGTCTCCTGGAATAGGGTAGTTTTGCTAACTGCATTTGTGTACCTAGAATTTGCAGGGTGTGCTGATTGAACTGGGGCAGCTCTTTGATTACAATGTAGAGTGCAATCCACGCAACTAACTTCATGTGCCCTTGCTTTAAAGTGCATTTCATTACTGTCAAACCAGTAGTAAAAAAATTTCATGGATGAAAACCAACATTTTTCTTTCTTCTTTTGTCTGTGAACTTTGGTGATTGTTGATAGATATATGTGTTTGTTGGTTTATGTGTATAGGCTGAAATTGATGCGATCTGACATTTACCAATAAAACTTTAAGCCTTCCAAGCTTAGTGATGAAGTACTGGAGCATTGTGATGAGTAGAGATCCACAGATTCCAAAGTCAGAAGGAGACCACCATGATTATCTCATCTGATCTTTTTTATAACACAGGCCATAAACTTTTTCTAAATAATTCCTAGAGCATATTTTTTAGAAAAACCTCCTTGTCTTTATTTTAAAATTGCGAGTGATGGAGAATTCACCATAATCACTGGTCAGTTGATTCACTGGGTAATTACTACATGGTTGAAACATTTGCACTGTATTTCTGTTTGAATTTGTATTCAACTTCCAGTTATGCTCTACTCTGTGCATTGAATATGATCCTTTATTCTAGTGGTCGGCAGAAAGTGGTGCGTGGGCTGGATGTGGTTTGCCAGGGTTAGCCCTGGTCGGCCGAAAGACACTTTGTTTACCTGAGAATCCACAGGTACAGCTGCTCATAGCTCCTAGTGGCTGCGGTTCACTGTTTCCAGCCAATGGGAGCTGGGGCAAGTGGCATGGGCTGGGCAGTTCTCATTGGCTGGTAATGGTGAACTGTGGCCAACAGGAGCTGAAAGCGGCCATACATGAGGACTCTCAGGTAAATAAAGCATTCGGCAGCCTGCTAGGAGCTAACACTGACAAACCATGTCCATCCCACAGACTGCTTATTGCCTGTCACTGATTTATTCATAATGTTTTAGAACGTTTACACTACATTCTTTTTCATCTTCCTTTGCAGAGCTGCTTTTTTTTTTTTTTTTTTTTTTTTTTTTTACAAGTTGCTGATCTTTTCCACCAAATTTTCTTGCCTGTTGGAATTTCTCTGTGACCCTGGGGAATATATTGCAGAGGTGCCTGCCATTCAGTCCTGTGTTCTGCACCCATCAGCAGGTAAGGTACTGCCATTGCAACACCTGCCACTCACTGTTAAAATGCTTCCACTTCTCAAACATCCCTGCAGAGGGCTCAACTTCAATGAAATGAAGAGCTGACTCCTTTTAACTTCTGTATTGCATAGTGTCCCATAGCAACTCCACATTGTACTGTCTGCCACTGAAGAATTAGTGCATAACATGGCAGTATCTTGTGATGTTTAAAGTCAGCTCATGTCGATATGTATCTGTCTAGCCGTCTAGCAATAAAAAAAATGGCACCAGTAACCTTCCAATTGTGAATCCATTTGCAGCTGGATTAGAGTTAAGTCTGTGAAAAAGCAACATAAGTGAGTGTTTGAAGCCTGGCACTTTAGAGTTGGGGGGCTCTGCATAAATTCAGTTCATAGTCTGAGAACCCCCATAACATTGAGCTGGAGAGGGAGGTACTTGTAGACCATAAAGCCAATTTTAAACTGGATTAAAGATTTCAGACACTGTTTACCAATACATGATTCATTCATGTGTATTGCTATAAATTGAGTCCAAGGGATTAATATTTGGGATTATGGTTTTCAGGAAGTAAGATGTTTTTTGGGTTTCTTGGAATATTTTCTAGAAAATGCCAATCATTGTGGGTGTGGGCGGTGAAAGAGAGAGGAGGGAAGAGAGAGTGTGTATGTGAGTGTATGACAGAGATATTATGGTTCCTTACTAATCCTTTTCAGTGTGTTGTTTCTTTTAACAGTGATACCATGTATAGTTATGCTGATTTTTTTTCTAGAACAAAAGCTTTCCAGTAACAGCTTTCAAATGATTTTTCTTCCCAAATCATCCCTTTTCTCACCCTTAAGTAGACCTTAAAGGAAGTTCATCCCACTGATTTGACTGAACTTCATCAGCAAAGCTCAGGATCTGCATTTTGCAATGGCTTCATTTTAAAAAAAATAATGTGGGTGACTCCCCTGATGGGTCTCATTGTAAAAATATTTAAACATTTTCTTGCAATACATAACCCCATATATGATGCTTTATTCTGAATTTATAGCAAGGAATAACTGCTGGGATATTCCTGGTGACATTTTTCACCCAAGTGTGTATTCACTCCCTATGCTCGTAAATTCCAATGAGGAGGATTAGATTTCCCCATATATATGTGACTGTGTCTCACATAGGGCTGCTCATGAGCAAAGATGCTACTCAACATCAGGATGGCAAATTGCACCTTGTATTGGTATGATCAGTTAAGTAATTTTTGGCAGATTATGCCTGTGTGTGTTCCAAGTGGAAGACTGCTCACACCCTTGTGCATGCCCTATGAGAACTAAGCACAGTCACAGTCCCTGCACTCAGGAGAAAATTAGGAAGGTCCACATTGTGACTGAATCTTATGTAGCGGGAGCACTCAAAAAACCTTCCCATCTTGTGAACCCAACATTATAGTCATAATCCTTGTGTGCTCCAGACTGAAGGACTGCTTCTGGTTAGTGTGCACAGCAGTACTGGCCACACTGGGGGTACGTCTAGACTACATGCCTCTGTCGCCAGAGGCATGTAGATTAGGCTACCCGACAGAGTAAAATGAAGCGGCGATTTAAATAATCGCCGCTTCATTTAAATTTACATGGCTGCCGCTTTGAGCCGACAAACAGCTGATGAGCTGTTTGTCGGCTCAGCGCGATAGTCTGGACGCTCCCCTGCCGACAGATTAGGCTACCCGACAGATGTCGACAACCCAGGTATGCCTCCTGGGATGAGGCATACCTGGGTTGTCGACAGCTCCCTTTGATGTCGGCAGGGGAGCGTCCAGACTATCGCGCTGAGCCGACAAACAGCTGATCAGCTGTTTGTCGGCTCAAAGCGGCAGCCATGTAAATTTAAATGAAGCGGCGATTATTTAAATCGCCGCTTCATTTTACTCTGTCGGGTAGCCTAATCTACATGCCTCTGGCGACAGAGGCATGTAGTCTAGACGTACCCTGGGTGAAGGCAGAGTGATGCCTCCACTAGGGATATGAACGAGCAGTCAACTAGATGACTACTCTCATTGGAGGCAGTAAGTGGGAGGGAAGCAAGAGCTGCTGCTGGGGGGGAGCCAGCTTAAAATGTCACACTGGTAGGGTCATGCTGGAGGGGTCACGTTGTCATGTGTGGCCCCTCGCAGTTTCCAGAAGTACCAGAACATCCAATATTCTGGGGATGCATGAATGGCCACCCTAATATAAACCTGGTATCTGTGCCAATTAGCTTACATTTTAAGGTCCTGACCCTTACAAAGATTTATGGATGTGCTTCACTTTAAGCAAGCAGGCAATCCCATTTCCCTCAAAGGACTATTTCATGCTTAAGATCATGCATGTACACAGGTCTTTGTAGGATAGGGACCTGTGGACGAGCCACGGGGTGCGATCACCCCCTTCCGGCCGGCCAGGGGAGCTCAGCGGACCCCCTCGTCCTACTGTTGGCCCCCGGGTGGGATTCCTGACTCTGGGGCCGGTAGGTTGGGTGCGATCACCCCCTCTCAGGTGAGCGGGGGGGATTCAGCAGACCCGCTGTCTGTCCTTCAACTCAGTTAGTGGGTCCCAGGCCCAGAGTTTGGCCCCTCTGGAGTAGGGGCTAGCCCCGTCGGCTTTAGTCTGATAGGCCTGCTGAAGCGTGAGAGCGTTTGCGTGTCCCCTGGTGGGGATTGTGGATAGAAGGGGGGAGGGGGACCTGGGCCCACCCTCTCCACCGGGTCCCAGCCGGGGGCCCTAAGTGCAGGGGGCCCGCATTGCCCCTGCATGCCAGACGGGGTTGCGTTCCCTAAATGCGTCCGTCCACGGGCGCCACAAGGACCCCACCCCGGGCTGCTTCCTCCCCCCATGGGCCCTTGGGGTCCGATTTCTGGCCCCTCCTTGCCTACCGGGGTTCTGATGCTCGGTGCCTGTGGTGCTCCTCAGTCGCTCCTCCTGGGGCTCTGCTCTCCTGCGCCCAGTCCCTGCCAGATTGTACCCTCCTCGGGCGGCATGAGTTCCCCCGCTCGGTTTCGGCCTCCGGGCTGGCCGTCCACCGCCTGCGGGGGCTGTCCCAGGATGCCCTGGGGTGGGGGCGGGCCATCTGCCGGCCTCAGGGAGAGGTCCGGTCCGTCCTCGGCCCAGCCCTTCTCTGCCTGCAGCGGAGGAGGTTGCCCCCTTTCCTGCTGCCAGCGGGCCCTTTTGAACTGGCCTGCTGGTTGTGATGTGGCCTGAGAACGCCCCTCCTCATCCCCCTGTGACAAGGCAGCTTCCCTCGCCGCGTTCCAGCCATCACTCACGGCCCCGGCCCCTCCCGGCACTGCCGGGGCCCACGGTTTCCCTGCCGCACATGCGTGGGCTCAGGTTCTGGTCCCACCGCCCTTCTCCAGCGGCATTGGGGTGCTGCGATGCTCCGCCCGCGGCCCCGCTCTCCTCCCTCCTCCCCGGGTGGTTTGGCGTGCGTGCCATTGGCGGCCCGTCACAGGACCTAATTAGAAACAGGACTTTTTGTTCTATCACAATAAAAGAAGGATGAATGTAACGGTAATAAAATCCGATCATCCAACTGTGCACTATGTTAGCTTGGTTTATATGGATAACACAGTTGGATGAGAGACATAATTTCATCTCTTATTATTTAGTAGCTTTAAAATTCCATGTTAAACCCTAGCTCCTTGTGCTCCCTTAATATTGCTCCCTGCTCAGTAAAAGTTACCCTGCATTTACTGCCTCTTCTTATTTTATTATTTGTTTTTCTCCCTCCTATATAGATGATACCCAACCAGCCCTCTTCTAGGAAATTGAGTGATGCAACCCACACAGTGTTCCTTGCTGGGGGGCTCCAGGGCCATATGCCTCCAGTGCCTTAAATCTGCACTATGGGTGATGGTCAGGAAAATGCAGCTAGCCACTCTCTCATAACCCTTTTGTGCTGCTGGCCTACGAAAGTATCTGCCTACTTGAAATACCAGTTTAACCTGTTAATGAAAAAACACCTCAAAGACAAAACAGTGCTCAACTAAGGTTGGAACAGTTGCATCAGAAAATGATGTGAAACATTAACGGTGTGCATGCCACATCAAGGAAAGATACAGTATTGTGGTCATGCTCAACTGAGCATAACAGCAAGCACATCACGCCCACAGGATCTGTTCCTGAACTCAGTGTTTGTTCAGCTTGAAAAAGGGAAGCAAAACTTGAGACGCTGGAATTGAACACAATAATTTTTAACTGTCTCTGTTCAAAACAGGTGTGATGGGTTGGATCACAGAGAACCCCTTTGAGACTGTCACTTGATGGGCTGATCATAGCACTGAGCCTGCCTGCCTGCCTGCCCTTTGCTGCTGCGGCACCTCATCACCCTGTTCGGTTGAGCCAAAACCTCTGATTCTCTCCCCCCACTCACGGCACAGAGTTGGGGTAACAACCCCCTAGCATAGTAACACCTCAGTCCTGGGAAGGCTCAGTCACAGGGACTTGACACAGCATGTTGATGCACAGCCCCAGTAGGATCAAAAACCCAGATAATTCCATCTTACTCTGTATAAAAGTTTTACACAGACCAAGCTCATAAAGTTCGTTCCTTTTATCAGTGAAAAGAGATATGCAAAGCTCTTGTTCCCTGCGTGCTCCCTCCTCCCCCAGGGTAACAATTATTTACACTTGATTTAGTAATAAACAAAAGTTATTTTATTAAATATAAAAAGTAGGATTTAAGTGGCTGCAAGAGATAACAGATCAAAGTAAGTTACTAAGCTAAAATAAAACAAAACATGCCAGCTAAGCCTGAGAGAAGTTGTAACAAATTAATAATTTCTCACCCTAGTTTTATCTGAGGTGAAGTCTTTTCAGGCTTGAGCTGTTCTTTCTCACCTGGATCCAACAGTTCATTTCCATCCCTGTTGTTAGAGTTCTTTTGTTTCCATGTCCTTTCATGAATTCTCTGTGGTGGGGAGCAATCTGTGAAGCCTGCTGAAGATAATCATGGTTTGCCTCTTGTTCCTTATATGGAATTTTCCCAGGGTGG